GGCGATCCAAAACAGAGCTTAGCGTGAGGGCACCATCGGCGACGGTATGGTTGACCGACGCGTTGAACCCTACCTGTGGATTGCTTTTCTTCTCCGCACCTAACGCTCCTCGAAGGAATAGAAGAAACAGCAAAAGCCTCGCCGGCTTGTTTCGGCTTTGGGAATTCATTACAGTGACCGAACGCAGCCACTGCACTGTGTGAACTCCTCTTTCCACACGTTTTTGTCCACTTTTATGCCCAGATAGTAATTTAGAAGGCTGGGATTGATTCTGATTTTGAACTCTTCCATGACTTGGAAAAATTGCATAAGACGCTGTGTAGATAACATTTTGCTGCCTTACCTGGAATTTGAAACTTCATGGATATCACCATGTGGCAAACAACGGCACGAACACGTTATTATTCCCGGTAAAACTGAGCATCTGTTGACACAAAAATGATTGAGTTTTTTTCTTTTTACCAACCTCTCTAAACAAAATCTAAATGAGACAAAGTTAAGTCGTGTAGTAAAACGTTAACAGCTGTTTTCAAATCTTAGAATTTGTCGTAGGGAATTGCTCAAGCTTTAGTAGAAACAAAACAATAAACTGTCAAGGTAACGCCTTGAATGCCATCTTTGAGTTTTCAGTATCTCCGAGATGTACCATTCAAAATATTTAAATCTTTAACCCTGTTCTATTTAAATCTAAGCGAATCTTTTTCATTGGCCATGAACAACCTAGCACTACTTGATAAAGTAATACCATGGACCCACGTGTGCTAATCTATTTAATATCTTTTCACAGCAGAATTACTGAAAAATCTTTTTTTGTTGTTGTTGTTGTTGTTGTTGCAGGTATATGGCCTACTGCTGTTTGTTGATTAAACTTCGTTGTCAATGCAGTTACACACAATACGAACTACAGATATGTATGTATAAAAATGCAATAAGAAAACAGTTTTAACTTTTAAAAAAAGTCAAGGCTGAATGAAAATTAGCTCAGTATGATACCTGTCTTTTTTTAATCCTAGATATTGATTCATTTATTTGTGTCTTTATCAGCATTATTGTGTAGGTGTCTTTCTTTTATGTCATTTTACTCTACATCTTGTAGTGTTGTTTCCGTCACTGAATCGATAAGAAATTAAAGGTCGAAGGTTTAATGCTTTGTTCTCTCTGCACGACGCATAGTCTAACTGCGGTGTTACCCAGATCGCTTACGGGGATAATATTGTCGTTAATTGTTGTTATTTTCATCTATAAGATTAATTTTCATGCTTTGAAGTAATAAGATGCCTCAATAAGCACGTCAATAGCTGTTGACCGATTCGCTTTGGAATTGTTTTGGACAAATTCTTACACAGACACCGAACAGTAAATTTTAAGATTGGTGATGATTATGCTGTTAAGCATTATGTAATATTACATAAAAATTGAAGAAAACCCTATTTGGGCACTGCCGCCATAGTGACCATTTAAGGAAAAGCGTGTCACTTACTATTCTCAAACGTACAGAAAAGAAACATAGGACTAAAATACAGCTTCAGTTGGAGATCAGTCTGATTGGCTTATTTTTCTGGAAGGTGTACATTTTTTGTGAAATTTTAATTTTTCACATATTGGCATTTTCAAGGTGTGACTTGGAAATTTCAATGGCTTGAAGACCTTTCCTAGTCACATTTTCTGAATATCCATGACGCTTTTATTTTATTATTAAAATTGATGGTTATTATGCTGTTAAGCATTATGTAATATTGCATCAGAATTGAAGAAAACTATTTTGGGCGCTGCTGCCATAATGACCATCAAAACAAAAGATTGTTACTAACTTACTAATGATCCTCAAACTTGTTGAAAGATCCATAGGACTGAAATGCATCTTGTGTTGGAAAACCAGTCTGATTGCATTCACTTCTGGAAGCAATGTAGTTCTTTATGACATTTTCATTTTTCACATATTTGCATTTTCATTGTGGAACTTAGTTAGAACTCCCATGGGCATGAAGCCCAATGGTAGTCAAACTTTCTAAATGTCCATGTTATGTACAGCAGATGGATTAAATTGTGGTGATTATGCTGTTTATCATAATGTAATATTGCATCACACAAGCACAACGAAGCTCAGTTTTTGCTCAAAATCAAATAAGAAATAAGTCCATATGAGTGATTAAAATGACGAAATGTAATATGATACTAAGTTACAAGACTGGGGATAGTAGCAACATAAAATTAAATGATCACACATACTTCCCCCATTCAACAGAGCAAAAAGTTGGCAAAAACAATGGCCACAAGATGTGAGAGAAGCTCACATCCCCGCCACTTTATGTACTGCCACCACAAACGTTATATGAAAAAAACGTGTTATTATTATTTTGTAACTTATCAATTATTTTGTAACTTACAAGAATGATTCTTAGAGTTGGCATACAGCTCAAAATAGAAGAACCAGCTCGTTGGATTATCATTTTTTTCTTGATTTTATGCAATTTTTTTGTAAAATTTTCTTTTTTCTCATTTTGGCATTTTCAAAGTGTGAACTTGAACTCTCTAAAGCCTTATATTAGTTATCCAGCTTACTTACATTCGTATTACTTGTTGTGCATAATTAAAATTTGGTGTTGACTTTGCTGTTAAGCATCATATACATGTATTATTGCATCAGAATTGACCGTATTCTTTTTGCTTTTTGTCTGTACATTTGACAGCTGTGCTGTCTTGTTTATACTTTGGTATAGATTTATGAAGCATTATATGTGTTAATTTACATTTATAATCTCTTTGAACTACAATGTGGATTTCTGCGAAGCCGTTTAATTTCTGTTTTATGCATCGAAGTGATGCTGTAGTAGTCGGCGCAGCTCTGTCGACAGAGGCTTCCTCGAAGGTCGTCTTGCATAGCCTAGTCAATGTTTTGTTTGATTATCTGAAGTTTTTTATAATGAAATATATCAGTACGGTGCATGCATGTTATTTTTTATTCTTTTCAATTCGGTGAAAATACTAGCACTTGGCCGATTTTGATAGTTTGTCTTTTCACTTTCCATCTATTTAATTCTATTCTGATAAAGGGATTATTTATATTATCATTACATTTTACAGTATGGTAGACTGATGTTGTATTTTAAGGTCATTTACATGGTTTTTGGATTCATATAATTAACTGATGAAAAAATGATAGCTTACAGAGAGCAGAGATGATGCCCGTGTTACATGAAAATCTGACTCCCCCAGTCAAAATTGAGTTGAAGGTAGATCCTAGAGGGCATGAGCCTTCTCGCCTTTATAATGAGAAAAGATAGTGTTTGATAGAGATGTAGGTGTCTCACCTATGTAGTATGAGATTTATAGGGATCTATGTCTGCAATGATATATAGGGTGCTCCTAAAAGGACATTCCGTGATTGATACGATTGAGGCGTCTCGCCTCTGATCGTGGTAGACATGGCAATGTAGTGGCAATGCCTGTCGGGGGAAAGGGGAGGGTGGACTGGTTGCAGAAAGTGCTTTTCCGTCAAAAAGTGACCTTCATCAGCTGCAAGTCCGTAGGAAAAAAATAATAAAAAACGGGGAAAGAAGGGGATCGGCCAGCAAAGGTGTCTCGCCTTTGTTTGGTGAATATTCATAAATGGTACCTCGCCATTGTGAATGATACAAGCCATCTCAGCTTAATAGCATCATGCTTGATCACAGTTCAGTCTAAGCTACTCTATCGTGTTCTTTTTTTCATTTTTTTACCCAATATTTTTCCATCAAACTTTCAAACATTTCCAATATATTCTTCATAAAGTATAGTAAAAGGAAATATGTAGAACTGATCACCAAATATCAAATAAATAGCTTTTTCATAGGGGAGTCGTTCGGTGGTAAAATACACATTTTTAATTATTTTATTTCTCATGAAATCCTTCACCTGCAAACTAACAAAAAATGCCAATGTATCCTCCATTATGCATACTACAAAATAAAAATCATTTACTCAAATAAAATAAGATTTATAAAGTTTTGTGGAGGGGGGGGGGGGTAAAAATTTCATGGGGGGGGGATCACATTTTTATTGTGAAAATTTGACTGGGGCAGTTACATTTTAGGGGAGTCAGATTTTCATGGTACACCTGTACCCGTACAGTTTGTAGATAACATGTACTGTTGGTGTTATTCTCGTAAATGACTTTTACTTAATTTGTATATATGCCAGATCGAATTGCATTATTATCGCCATGCACACACACACACACACACACACACACACAGTAAAACAATCTACTTAGCTGCCTAATGCAGCAGAGAAGATCTTTTCTGTTCTCCTCCAGATGGATTTATAGACCGTTTTGGTTTGTCAAACCTGGCAAAAACTGCTCATGCAGTAGACCATATAAGGTTAGCCACTGACCTACACAATGCCATTTTACTTTGGGGTGTGTAAGGGTGAGAAGCTTTATTTTACTACTGTAATCTAATGTATTTTAAAATATGCGGGAAACAAAAGCTTCCTGTGCATTACCACTTTAGTAGATTGTTAATCAAATTTTCATCTGTCAAATTATGGTAATTGATAAATAAAAGGGCGGTCACCTACAGGGTCAGGGGGGTCCTGCCCCCCCCCCCCCTTCGATTTCTGGAAAAAAATCACGCCAATTGTACTCTTTAAATCATAATTTTGACTAGCTGAATCAAAGTTCGAAACCGTACCAAATGGCACCGTTCGTCCTCTAAAATGCCAAAATTTTGCATCGGCTTTGCATCCCCCCCCCCCACCCCCGGGACAGAGATTTGTCAACACCCACCCTGGTGTTGAGTTTTGTGGAAGTGAACTATTACGGAGACATGAAACTTCCTGATGGAAGAGGGTCGTGTTATTTTGATAGAATAAAGCACTGCATTACAACAAGAGGCGGGCATAAGTCATATATTCATGTATTTTGACCCTGAACATTCGTGAACAGTTTAGCTACAACCCCTCGTCTGAAATGAGCCGTACCTGTTGTAATTTGCATAACAATGTGTTGCTCACCGAAGTGCGAGCTGTCTTTCAGGATACTCACTCCACAGGTGGACCCAGTAGAGCGGAGACGCAACAGTATGTGTGGTGCAGGCGCAAGGTCGAGCTTTTATAAGACATGGAAGCAAAATACATGTTTGGTAAGTAACGCTACTTTTTCAATAATCTCTGTCATGAAAAAACTAAAGGAACAGATTAATAAAAAGAAATTTACGACAAACATCTTTCACATAAGTCAAACTTTTTCCACTGCCATGCCCATCGTTACTAGCATGCTGTCATAGAATTAGAAAATGTTGGTTTTGATTAAGTTTTACAACGGTTTGGGACTTTATAGGTACAGGAGAAACGGTGCTTGAAATCTTGTGGTTCCTTTTTATTGTCATGTAAGAGAGTATTCGTGACTTGATTCAAAATGCTTTTTATGTAAATGTAAGCATAACCGCAAAGAACACAGGTAAATTTAGATGATAATGCTTGTCACTGTGCTGTCACTGTGTGATAACTTGATTAACTTACATCCAAAGCATATGTAATATATGTTGTTCCAAGTCAATTTGCTAATAAACCCCCCTTTACACTGGACGGCGTCCTTTCTGCGTCCAGCAGCACGGCCCCATTTGAGAGTTAAGAAATTATAATACTTTACGTGCCGACAACTGGGCGATCATTGAGCATTCATTCTGATACAAAACCAATGCTTGTGCCTCCTTATTAAGACCACAGCGATGCCAAATTTCATGGTCGCAGAAAGGGGGGTATAAGATATTATGCGCATGCACTTCTCCAAGAAAAACAAAAATTATCTACAATACGCAGCTGTAAAATAAAGGGTTGCACCTAAAATACGTGATTCAAAGCAATTATAGATATTACACATTTATTCTCAATATATAGGTCCATTTGAAGAAAACAGAAGGTGGAAAATGAAGTTACATGTATGTTTGCGAATTATATTTTTTCGAAATCTCTGGTGACAGAAAGTGATAAATCTAGCTTTTTGTGTAAATTATGGAAATTTTTTAATTCATGCCTAGCAAGTATGGGAAATTTTCGTATTTAGTAACGAAAGGTTCAACTGTTTTAGCAACGAAAGTTTTTAAAATAACCACCCTTTTGGATAATATTTGCACGTTATTAATACTTACATTAGACTGAGCTAAATTGGTATTACGAAATTAACGTTTACTTTACTGATCAAATTTGTGCTTAACCTCGAGTATATTTTTTCACAATGCCTGATTACTTTCTAAGAGAATTCAGTGTTGTCGTGTTTAGTGAGAAACATTTAACTGTGTCCTGTCACCATTACGTCTAGCTAATCATGGATGTCACTGAATTGAAGATTTTATTATTGATTAAAATTTTACAAAAACAAAACAACCGAAAATGATGACCTGCGCCAAAAAGACGGCGGTTTCTCAATTTTTAAAAACTTGGCATACCGCAAAAGTAGACGCAAGCTATTTATTAAGCTATTTAAAATGAGCTTTCTAGACATTTTCTGAGACGTTAGATATCATACTAGCTTCCTAACAAGTTGCAGCTTTTCTTAACTAGATCGATTCGAGAGTCCGAGATGGTGCAGTGCACGACAGTAACGAAGGTTTAAAAATTTAGTCCGTTTGTTTTTTGATCAAGAACAGATAATTTAGTAATTATAATTATTATTTTTAAGTTGATAGACTGAGATATATAAATAAGTTAAGTTCCACTTGAACAAACAATTCTACCGCTTGCTTACTTTTTATAAAATAAAAAAAAGTTTAATGGATCTATATATTGAGAATGAGTGATAACGCTCGATAGTACGGAATATCTTAACGACTGTGCTTACAACCCTATATATGCAATTGAAGGAAGTCATGTATTTAATACTTTTTTTATTATCAAGATAATTCAAATAATTTTATTATTAAAAAACTTATCACACATCATAACGCCTCGTTTTCAGCCTGTGTTTTTTCGGTATTAACTTCGGACAAGCCAAAAAGCATTCACGCTTTACATTACACGCTTTACATTACAATTATAAGTGCCCTTTCCTCTGTAAAATAGCATGTATATGCACTTGCCATTTATTCAAAAACTGTAAACATTATTTTCTCTTTTCAGATGCTTAACCCCACCGAGATACAGCACACCATGCCCCTTCAAGCAACATAGGCTTCGGTGTACCCCAGGAACCCTACGACCAATTATTATACAGCTATTATATGAAAGCTGAATAAATACTTTTGACATTTCATGTTTTGTTTTTCATTGATAAAGACAGAAGTAATGGTAAGGGGGGTGGGCGAGAAGGATTATATAGATGTGATAACAGTTTCAAATTCAATGTACTACATTTCTGTTTGCAAACATCGTCTCATCCGTGTAGCAAGTTAAAACATTTTAAACCATTCAAATCTAAATATCTGTAGGCACTTTAAAAATTCAATCTCAAAGACAATATGTATTTATAAGATTTTTCATCAACTGGCATTTATAATTTGAATTAAAATTTTTAACAATCTTGCATTTTGAGCATTTTTAAGAATTCTATATTTAAATTATAGCAAGAGATTTTGTACCCTTTAGAAAAAAATTTGTTCTGTCCTCTTTAATATAATTAAATGTGGTATCATACCATTTTTGACGGGTACTGGTTTCTGCTACCGCAAATTACTTCATATAAATATTTCAATTAATAATTTTAAAAGAAAAATGAGAAACTGAAAATAAGTTGACGAAACCTTTCACCAAGCAAATGGCAACCGATAAGCCTAATATCCTCGCCGTAAAAGATTGGTCATTTTTCTACTCCTATTCTCTGCAAAAATCCTGGCCTATATTTGAAACATTGCCGGATTCCTTCATGCAATTTTTGATCAATATGAAATATCACACAGTTGAAAATGTGCAGTAAATAATGTACCACTTTTCTGAAATCGTGACCAATTTTAAGATACAATTATTCACTTTCTCTGCCTGTCAAAATTAATGCAGCCTTCTATTCAAAACTTTGCTGACATTATCGTTTTTCATTTTAATCATGTTCCCTTTGGTGTGTTATCCTGCACTTTTATTGCAGATTCCATTATTTTTTGTTTGCATGCTTGTTTCCATTTCTTTCTTTCAAAATATTGTAACAAATTTCTCTGCCATAAAATGCATATTTGAGACGATTTTGTTTGCATATGCCTCTAAAATATAATAAACTTGCCGCACCTGTCACCCCTCAAAACAGAGTGGACTTGCCTCACCTGTGGACCCTCGATTCTGGAATGGACTCTTCCCACCTGTCACCCCTAGAATATGGAATGAACTCGCACCACCTGTCACCCCTCGAATCTGGAATGGACTCGTCCTACCTGTCACCCCTCGAATCTGGAATGGACTCGCCCCACCTGTCACCCCTCGAATCTGGAATGGACTCGCCTCACCTGTCACCCCTTAAATGGAATGGACTCGCCCCACCTGTCACCCCTTAATTTNACCAAATTTGTGCTTAACCTCGAGTATGTTTTTTCACAATGCCTGATTACTTTCTAAGAGAATTCAGTGTTGTCGTGTTTAGTGAGAAACATTTAACTGTGTCCTGTCACCATTACGTCTAGCTAATCATGGATGTCACTGAATTGAAGATTTTATTATTGATTAAAATTTTACAAAAACAAAACAACTGAAAATGATGACCTGCGCCAAAAAGACGGCGGTTTCTCAATTTTTAAAAACTTGGCATACCGCAAAAGTAGACGCAAACTATTTATTAAGCTATTTAAAATGAGCTTTCTAGACATTTTCTGAGACGTTAGATATCATACTAGCTTCCTAACAAGTTGCAGCTTTTCTTAACTAGATCGATTCGAGAGTCCGAGATGGTGCAGTGCACGACAGTAACGAAGGTTTAAAAATTTAGTCCGTTTGTTTTTTGATCGAGAACAGATAATTTAGTAATTATAATTATTATTTTTAAGTTGATAGACTGAGATATATATATAAGTTAAGTTCCACTTGAACAAACAATTCTACCGCTTGCTTACTTTTCATAAAATAAAAAAAACAGTTTAATGGATCTATATATTGACAATGAGTGATAACGCTCGATAATACGGAATATTTTAGCGACTGTGCTTACAACCCTTTATATGCAATTGAAGGAAGTCATGTATTTAATATTACTTTTATTAACAAGATAATTCAAATAATTTTATTATTTAAAAACTTACCACAAATCATAACGCCTCGTTTTCAGCCTGTGTTTTTTCGGTATTAGCTGCACTTTTACTTGGGACAAGCCAAAAAGCATTCACGCTATTACAATTATAAGTGCCCTTTTCTCTGTAAAATAGCATGTATATGCACTTGCCATTTATTCAGAAACTGTAAACATTATTTTCTCTTTTCAGATGCTTAACCCCACCGAGATACAACACACCATGCCCCTTCAAGCAACATAGGCTTCGGTGTACCTCAGGAACCCTACGACCAATTATTATACAGCTATTATATGAAAGCTGAATAAATACTTTTGACATTTCATGTTTTGTTTTTCATTGATAAAGACAGTAGTAATGGTAAGGGGGGTGGGCGAGAAGGATTACATAGATGTGATAACCGTTTCAAATTCAATGTACTACATTTCTGTTTGCAAACATTGTCTCATCCGTGTAGCAAGTTAAAACACTTTAAACCATTCAAATCTAAATATCTGTAGGCACTTTAAAAATTCAATCTCAAAAACAATATGTATTTATAAGATTTTTCATCAACTGGCATTTATAAATTGAATTAGAATTTTTAACAATCTTGCATTTTGAGCATTTTTAAGAATTCTATATTTAAATTATAGCAAGAGTTTTGTACCCTTTGGAAAAAAAATTGTTCTGTCCTCTTTAATATAATTAAATGTGGTATCATACCATTTTTGACGGGTACTGGTTTCTGCTACCGCAAATTACTTCATATTAATATTTCAATTAATAATTTTAAAATAAAAATGAGAAACTGAAAATAAGTTGACGAAACCTTTCACCAAGCAAATGGCAACCGATAAGCCTATTATCCTGGCCGTAAAAGATTGGTCATTTTTCTACTCCTATTCTCTGCAAAAATCCTGGCCTGTATTTGAAACATTGCCGGATTCCTTCATGCAATTTTTGATCAATATGAAATATAACACAGTTGAAAATGTGCAGTAAATAATGTACCACTTTTCTGAAATCGTGACCAATTTTAAAATACAATTATTCACTTTCTCTGCCTGTCAAAATTAATGCAGCCTTCTATTCAAAACTTTGCTGACATTATCATTTTTCATTTTAATCATGTTCCCTTTGGTGTGTTATCCTGCACTTTTATTGCAGATTCCATTATTTTTTGTTTGCATGCTAGTTTCAATTTCTTTCTTTAAAAATATTGTAACAAATTTCTCTGCTATATAATGCATTTTTGAGACGATTTTGTTTGCATATGCCTCTAAAATATAATAAACTTGCCACACCTGTCACCCCTGAAAATAGAGTGGACTTGCCTCACCTGTGGACCCTTGATTTTGGAATGGACTCTTCCCACCTGTCACCCCTCGAATCTGGAATGGACTCTCCCCACCTGTCACCCCTCGAATCTGGAATGGACTCACCTCACCTGTCACCCCTTAATTTGGAATGGACTCGCCCCACCTGTCACCCCTCGAATCTGGAATGGACTCGCCCCACCTGTCACCCCTTAAATGGAATGGACTCGCCCCACCTGTCACCCCTCAAAATAGAGTAGACTAGCCCCACCTGTTACCCCTTAATTTGAAATGAACTCGCCCCACCTATAACCCCTCAAACTGAAATGAACTCGTCCCACCTTTCACCCTTTAAATTGAATGGACTTACCCCACCTGTCACCCCTCAAATGGAATGAACTCCCCCCCAACATGTGACCACTTAATGAACCATTTCTACGTCTCCCCTTAAATTGAAAAAGTTCCACAACAAACTGAACAAAATCATTTATTCCAAACAAACGAACGTAGATATTTTGAACGAGTTCTTTTTTTTTATTATTTTTTTTTATATATATATATGGCAACTTTAACAACAGAATATTATGGTGAATGATATCCAGCAATTTTTACATACAGTAATGAACGTGTTTTACGCAGGACTGTCAAAATCAACCTTATGTCAATTTGTAGTATAAGGAAACATAATTGAGTACATATTACAAAAATAGCATTTTTCTTGGTATAGTTGTATGAGAAATAAAGTTTTCACACGCTAACTATAAATTGGCATTGCCCAAAATAAGTTGCATTTAATAAAGAATGTAAAATTACACTGAAACTACTACAAAATACATTTAAAATGATAAAATTTAAATAAATGTGCTCTGCTTTAAATTATGTGGAAATTGTTTAAAATTTTACATTCAAAACATACAGTGGAATAAAGGACAGTTTTGTAAAGTATTTCACTTTCTTTTATCATAGTTTTCGGTCTGAAATTCAGCGTAGTAACACATGTACAGTGATAATTAAATATCAGTGCAATATTGTATTAACAAATCATTGTTGGTGCACCAGACGCCAGCTGGTGTAAAAGAAATTGAGGAAGAGAAGGATTTGCGTAGCAAAATAAAAGTTAGAAATAAAAGAAAAAGAATGGATTTTTTGACATGTGAAAATCGTAGGAACTTAGTACATCTTTGTGCTGTAATTTCATTCCTATGCATACTTTTTACTTACAGAAACCAATAGCTTAAAACCTAGTGTATACATATAGGGCAGTATAAAGTATGGACAGAGGGGTGACATGAACAAAAATTAAACATTTGAAATTTGGCAAATCCATCGCCATCTTTCTAGTCGTGATCTCAACATGGAGACAAGCATGCATATGTATTTTTATTTCCAGCTAAATTCAATTTCCATATTTGTTAATTTCAATTTACAAATATTTTAAAAAGCAACTTTTGAAAATTTTGGAAAAAATATAAAGTGTGAAAAGAAATTGCTTAAAATTTTAAAAGCAAATACACACTTCAAAATGCTAGATTACAGCTTCTGAAAATTCTGTAGGTTTTAATATTATTTTTACTTCTGTGTTTTTTAAATAAAATCGAAAACTATCAAAAGAAGCGCATTTATTTTTTAAACATTGCCTGCCAGAAAACATAACTTAAAAATGGTTTAAAAAAAGTCAATTGATCCATTTCTGGGTAAACTTTAAAAGCAAGAGCAATCAATAACTGGATATAATTTTAAAAACAAAAAGATCGATTTCTGGGCATAATTTTAAAAACAATAAAGATCCATTTCTGAATATAATTTACATTATAATATGATCCATTTCAAGATATGATTTAAAAACAAATGTGATCATTTTCTTTATATAATTTTAAAAGATCGCTTTCTGGGTATTATTTGAAAACGAAACCCAATGGCTCTTACTAATGCATTTCTATATGTTAAAATCTTACACATGGGCCTAAAATGTTTGAAAATCACAGGAACAAAACGTACGCTTTTAACCATATTGTAAATGCAGTGTGTGTGTGTGTTTGTGAGAGAGAGAGAGAGAGAGAGAGAGAGAGAGATCGCGTGTGTCCGTGTGCATAAATCTGCTGAAGTCATGTCCTGAAGCACACCCAGAAGACTTGGGGAGATTCCTCCAGATGCAATTAAGTACAGGATCTCGTCAAGGAAGTCAATTCTGAAATGTCAAAAACATTCGTTTCAATAACGATATTAAATAGATATTAATCAATATTCCAATGGAACAAAATGCTAGATAAGATTAAATTAACGGGAATGGAAATTGTAAAATATCGAATTAAAAAGGTAATGTGCATGTAGTACTCAATACTAAACACTCTTTGATGTTTCACAAGAAATTTTAAATGAATGTTGTTCATTAATTGTAGCACACTGAGAACAAAGACAAAGATTAAAACGACCTACTCTAATGGAAAATGTTCTTAAAGTAGAGAATTTAACGGTTGGAGTAATTCCCCCAAGATATGGGCAATGACTGTACAAATTAAGCCAATCTTTAAAGTTAAGAAGGCTAATAATTGGATCAATAATTCAGTTTTTCCATGAAAAGGAAACTTCATTTGACAAATTATACAACAGCCTGTTTCAACTATTTGAAAAAAAGACAATCTTGTTACTTTAAATGCCTGAAAATAGGCTATCACGTGTATATTTTCTAACATCATGATTTCTCTCATTTTTAAAGTGCTCTCTCACTTATATCTTTCATTACCCAACATGAAAAACAGTTTTTTTTTCTGAAGATAAATCGTAATAAATCGTCATGCCAGTTTCTAATGTAGATATCTGGGACGGTCAACAAGGATACTTCAAATACAAATACGAAAGAAGCATTTTCAAACAAAACCGTTCAAGAGGCCAATTTGCATACAGCGAGTGGTACTAAAGTGACGGTTTCCGGACACCAATAAGTGATATAATATTACTTTTGTCAAATTATTTATAAATCAATTGACAGCAAACGTGTAGATTATAGAGATGAGCAACTTTTCAATTAACTACCCAAGTAAAAACTGAAATTTCAGAACACGCAAAAATACTATAAGGCTGTAATTGCCCGCTAATATTAACTCGTCAATACAACAGAAATGTTGTCAGTAATGCAAAGAACATCTTAATTATAACCGACAAAGAAGCTTTTCAACCCATTCCACGGCCTTTCGCATTTTAATTCAAGCCTACAACAAACACTTTTTAAACTCGAATTCAGACAAGGAAAAAGCATGAAAATTTCTCTGACAGTCGCCGTACATACCGCATTATCACATAATACCCATCAGACGTAACTGATTCTCACTTTTTATCCGCCTTTTCAAGCCCTCACGTTTTAAGGTTGAATGAAATGTTCAGTTCTGCAACTTCACCACATCTGTCCCACGCCCTTCTCCCGCAGTGGTCAGCTGTCAAGTGATCAGTCAAGAAGATAGGTGGCGCTGGTCGACTTATTGTCATGCAAATTACAACAGGCATGATAAGATTGGGAAGTTGTTGTTGAAGGAATCCTCAAAGAATGGTCTTACAGATTTAAAACAAAATCAAATTTGAGACCTTTTCATCGGTACAAATAGCTGTCACCAGTAGACTGTCAAATGAACACCCTGAAAGGGACAAACAATTTCTTATTAATTAAATTTACAAACAGAAGTCAAATTGATTCCAATCTACTATTATAATATTTGGTATACACTTGCAGGCCAATAAAAGCTATGAACAAGAAAAATGAAAACAAAATGATTCTTATTGATAACAACCATTATGAGGTCAGAAAGATCTTCCTCAAAATGACGCAGGTGTAACTGCCTGCCAGGTATTTTTAGGTGAATGTCCCCTTTTAGCTGTCAGACAGTTTAATCTTTACCTCCGCCAAAGAGGTTATGTTTTCACCCCTGTTTGTCTGTTTATTTGTTTGTTTGTCTGTCATCAACATAACTCAAAAAGTTATGGACCGATTTTGATGAAATTTTCAGGAACTGTCAGAAGTGGGCCAAGGAAGAGATTACTAGTTTTTTGGTGGTGATCCGGATCAATGATCAATCAATAATCCATCATAATCAAAAATCGCTGCCTTGGCAGAGGTCTCAGAGTGCTTTTCTAATTTCAGTTTGTTGTATGACAAGTTCAACTTCTCTAAATGTTCACATATTTGGGAGTGAACTGCTAAACATTAATTATAAAGTATTGCTTTGTAACACAAGCTGTGACAGTCCATTTTTTTCTATATCAATTTGAGGAATACCAGGAACTCTGATGGCCATATGCACACAATATAATTAAGTATTTTCTATGGTTACGATTACAGACACTCCCAAGGACTAATTTTTTTAATTTATTAAACCTTGACTAAACAGGTGTACTGAGCTGATTAAAGCAAACAGAATACAGTGAACCCAGTCAGATTTGGTAATTCATTAAAGGAACAAAGTATTTATAAGATTTTATAAGACTTTTTTAACTAAAGCCCAGAAGCCTAGCAAGATATAAAGTTGTGTTTGTCTCAGACAGCCTACCTTCTGTTAACCTGGCCTTTCCTCCAGTTGGCTGACACAGCACTGTTGAATACCCAACACAAAGCACTTCTATACTGTCTGAGCATGGCTAAAAACTGTGGTAATTTTATAACAGCCTGGAAGAACAATTACATCTTGAATAAATATCACACAGGAGATATATAACAGCCACCATTAATTTCATTAGAATTTATTAAGAATAGAAACAAATTTATGGAAGCTGCATGTGGATTGTTGTATAGAAAACACTAACAACCTTAAAGGAAACAACTGTTACCATGAAACATGATTTCACAAGTGGCATTATTGATAAAGACCCCACCCCAAAAACACAAATTGGCAGAGCCCTGATGTCAGTGTGAAAAGCACACAGTAGTTGTGCAAGTACAAGTTGGAATTGCTATAGTACCTGGGCATTTTGCATCCATGAAATAGAAATTAGGACTTTGTACAACTCTCTTCAATTTGTGTTTCCTCTTCTCCTCAGTAAGGGAGGGATGCAGTAAATCTTGACCATGCTGAAAGGGAAATAATAGAACTTCTAACAATTTTGTTAACAGTGGCGGATTTAGAGGGGAGTCAGGGAGGTCATGACGCCCCCCTTCGGTTTCTGATAAAAAATCACACTAATATTCCCTTGGAATTAGAATTTTGACTAGATGATTTATAGTATTTAACCATACCTAATAGTACCGTTCGCCCTTAAAATACAAAAAAATTCGGAACCCCACGCCAACGGGGGAAGGGGAGGTAGACTTTGCATCCATGGACGCCCCCTCCCCCCCCTTCGTATAATCCTGTATCCGCCCCTGGGGTAAATGTGGATGAAAAGTTACATTTGCAAAGCATGGGAATCAGGAGCGACATAAAAATCATGGGCTATTTACAAGATTTTCAAAGTCTTGACAAACTTCAGAATAATATACAAACAAAACTGAAAAGGTTACGCAAAACTCAGTGTACTTGAAGTGATTTTTCATATTCACATTCAATTAAAATTAACTCTGGTTCTCGGTGACACTCACAGGCCTACCCAAATACCAGACTTGGCACCGAATGATCCAGAATTCACCGGTAGATCGGACCACACTGCCCGGGTTCAAGGTGTTGAAGAGAACAACTTCAATTTCACAACGAGGTGTCAAGTTGTAGATATCCCCACATATATTTACCGTGTAAAACATTTCTCAATTTGGAAATTAATATATGATAATTTTAAAGCAATCACTTTATAATTTTTATACAGACATTGTTTCCTTTAAATAAGAACTTCAACGTTTTAGGTTCGAAAAGGGACGGGTATCAAGCCCGACCCAAAAGTATAAATTACCCTCATAACACCATGATCAGATAGAGCACTGTACTACGACATAGTGACATAAATTTACCAAAAGAAGCAAACCCGCATCATGCAGGGCGGACGCTTAGTATGGATTTGATTTCTATGAGAACTATCGTAAATAAAAAGCTCATTTTATTCGAGTTTTAATTTGATATACGTTTTGGAGCAGCATGTTACAACCAAAAGCAAACATAGCATTCCATACTAAATGTCGTCCCTGCAAATTTAAGGACAGACAAACGTCGGCATAGGAGGTAATCTTGGCATGGGTGTGAGACTGTTATGTGTCCAACACAAAACGAGTAGGACGCTTCTGGTATCTTCGTAAACAGTACTTATAGTCACTGAGATTAAAGGAGTGGATTCACATTCATGAAACAATGTCTAAAGATCTGATAAAGCAGCACAGTTACATGTTCATTACAGAAATTCGTGTCAGTATCCTTTGCCTTACAATTAACAAATCGCAATTAAGCATTAAAATTACACAAATATATATATTCTTATTTAATCCTCATGGAAATGGTATCAGAAACAAAAGGGTTCCCAAAAGGCACTGAGGGAAAGCTAAGAGAAAGTCTCCTTCACGTCAGTTAGATGTACCCATGGTGATTATGCCTATAGAGTGCACCATTTCGGGAAAATATCGTCAATGCAAAACTAAAAAAAAAATGCTAGAATACACTTTCTATCATCTGTAAGGAACTTACCAGATACTGCTGCCGGCTTCAGTGCCATTTTTTCGACCAAAATGTGGCAGTAGCAGTAATAGGGCTCGGGACATCCTTCTCCGTCTTCTTCTGACCTTGGTACTGTCTGAGCACCTCTCACCAAAACGCTCACCTTATTTACATAATGAAGAAGAGGTCACCTACTTTCCTTGCGGACGCTTCGGTTTGAATTTATTGTCTGGTTTATGAGAAGGCACAATAAGTCTCGAAAAGAGGATCATAATGACACACACACACGCACACAACAAAAATAGATAAAAATTAAAACGCATTTTCAAAGTCAGCATACTTGATATTACATGGCTGGGTATATAAATTAGCTTTCAAAGGTGGATTGAACGAACTGGGGTGGGATTGTGATAGAAAAGACATTCAATCTTACGGTACAGTGTAACTGGAAGGCTATTGATATTTCTTTTTTCTTTCTTTCTGTCTTTATTTCTACTTCTTGAAACATATATTGACACTTTTAAAGGAAAACGTATAAGTCTACACGTTTATTGAATTGTCTTGTATGTTACATTCATAGGTAATTTTCCATAAATAAACCCTAAAGAATTAATATTTTAACTGTTTATGCACGAATAAAACACACGTATTATAACTGAATCGGTCTTTATTTGTATTATATCAAGTTTCTCTTGTTTTGAAAATTCTGAAAGAAAATGTTCTGCGTGTTGTTTCATTTAATCACTTTTAGTAACCGTTAGTAACGTAAGAAAAGCGATATGTCTTTAGTAGCCAGAATCGCTTATTATTATTATCATTATTATTATAATTGAATAAAAACAAACTTAGTTCATCCAAAGCGAGACACCCAGGGGCCGACCTGTGCGCTGTAGAGACCGATACGCGGTCATCTAGCCCTCCTCGTAGGCTAACGGAATCTTTAAATGTTGGTTGAAAATCCGCTCCTCAATAAATTGTTTTATTAAAGCCTGTTATTCAGATCTTCTTGAGAAAAAAAATAGATTGGATAAGATGTACACAGAATGAATTAGAAGTAATTTGCTTGTTATTTTTATTTTATGAAAATATCACTAATGATTTGACGCCGTCCTTGACCGAGCTAAGATTATGATTATAAAGATAACTTTTGACAAAAACTGATCGGGGAAATATCCTCTTCTAGCAAAGGACTATTGTACTAACATTCAATTGAAATTGTTACATTTCTATTTAAACAAGCTAATTCCACAGAAATATAATGAACATATTGCTAAATTTAGAATATACTACACTGAAAGCAAAGGGTCATCATTTCATCCGATCTGATTACTCTGTAGGGTATTCAACACGTTATATCGCTATACCTGTAGAAAAGGGAAGGTACTCAGACACTAACAAATATTCTATTACTTTTAGTAACCGTTAGTAACGTAAGAAAAGCGATATGTCTTTAGTAGCCAGAATCGCTTATTATTATTATCATTATTATTATAATTGAATAAAAACAAACTTAGTTCATCCAAAGCGAGACACCCAGGGGCCGACCTGTGCGCTGTAGAGACCGATACGCGGTCATCTAGTCCTCCTCGTAGGCTAACGGAATCTTTAAATGTTGGTTGAAAATCCGCTCCTCAATAAATTGTTTTATTAAAGCCTGTTATTCAGATCTTCTTGAGAAAAAAAAATAGATTGGATAAGATGTACACAGAATGAATTAGAAGTAATTTGCTTGTTATTTTTATTTTATGAAAATATCACTAATGATTTGACGCCGTCCTTGACCGAGCAAAGATTATGATTATAAAGATAACTTTTGACAAAAACTGATCGGGGAAATATCCTCTTCTAGCAAAGGACTATTGTACTAACATTCAATTGAAATTGTTACATTTCTATTTAAACAAGCTAATTCCACAGAAATATAATGAACATATTGCTAAATTTAGAATATACTACACTGAAAGCAAAGGGTCATCATTTCATCCGATCTGATTACTCTGTAGGGTATTCAACACGTTATATCGCTATACCTGTAGAAAAGGGAAGGTACTCAGACACTAACAAACAATTAAGAACTTGTAAATTATGTAATTTAAATAAAATTGAGGACGAATTTCACTTTATTCTGAAATGTATATTTTACAGCACACTTGAGCAAAATAAGTTAAAAATTCTATTATAAAAAGCTTAGCGTCTTTAAACTCATTAAACTGCTATAATTTAACAATGTCTCGCAATTGAATTAATTTTGGAAAATACATAAAATATGCTACTGAAATTACGTTAGTGTCGATTATTGTTATTATTATTAATGTTGTTATCAGTATTTTTCTTATTATATTTACGAAGTTCTTTTTTGTTATATGTTGTACGTCTTTCTGATTAGCCGTAGGACTCGACAATTTTTAATAAATTGAAATTGAAATTGAAACAACTGGTGCATCATCAGGTACCACATCAGCTACGCGTAGAGCGGTCTGCTTGTCAGTTTTTCCTGGATATACAGTAGGTACAGGTACGAGAGCAGCAAAGCAGGAAATCTTTGTATTTTATTTTTTCAAAAATCTTTAAAAATATCCTTCAAACAAAACATCTAAAAACGTTAAATATTGATATCACTTGCGTTAGACATGCATCTGTCCACACACTGGATAAAGCTGTGTACATGTCTTCTGCCTATTTTGATTTACAGATACAATATGTCTCTTTCACATATTTCATAGCCGAAAGCATTTTTAAGAACTGTGAAGGTATAGTCCGTCATCACTGAAGAAACCAAGGCTAGGACGCTTAGGCGAAGTCAAGTTGTATAGCACACCTTACTTAAACTGAGAATTAAATTGTTTACATGTTTGATTTTCTGTCCAACTAATTCTTCTTCTTGCTTCATCATTTTGTTCAGTTTTCTTAGTATAGTTCAGATTAATTGATGACAGTTTCTGGTTTCATGGTTGTACCCCACTAAAAATGTGGTTCCTACGTCCCTGCTTTATGACCGACATCCAGTCCATATAGACGTTTACACCAAACTTCAGGTCAGCACGTTTACAATAAAATGACACTGTTATACCGTGTGTTGTTTGGGGCTCGCGCATTTGCATTAATTTCTCATTGAACAAGAAATCGAACCATGAAAAAAGCCGCAACCTGGTTGAATCATTATTGCTTTTTTCCAAGGTCTCAAGCCGGTGTAACAGGAAAGGATATTCGCTAGGGACCGTAGTCTGCTTCCCATTACTTTGCACAGGTGACATTCGTCCCAAATACTATAGCCCCAATACTCCAACTAACCCTGACCTGTACTAATCATATGGGAGCCCGGACTTCCATTCCTAGGACTACCATTCGTGTTACACCGGTCACACAGAGACTTACTGGTGGGCTTCTATGTAAAACTACCATACCTAAGACCCAGTTCAGTATCTTAACAGCTAATTCTCTATTCCTTTGCAGTGCACTTGACGTGTTCTATCAAGAGAACCTTTATTTCGAGATGATCTATTTTTTGGGAAGGCACATTTTAGGTTACTTTTTGAAACGAAAGTATGCTGTTAATGTAGCATGGATTGAAGGTCGTGAGATTCCCTAGGCCTAACGCAGCTAACACAATCATAGATTGGATTGTCCAGATTGAGTTTCGGGTTGTGATTCTTATTAGTGCAACTAATACAATTGGCAACATGCAAATTTTAACTTTGGGCCGGAAAGTTCACGGACTTTTTTTTTCAAAAACAAAATCGTGCACGAGTGCCATTCTTACACACAGCAACTCGACGGAGCTTTAAAAATCTAAATGATATCTTGAAATATAAAATTAATTTTCCTTCCTTGTTAAATCAAAGAACTATCGAACTAGAGAATCTTTAAAAATCGGTTGTAATACAGCTTATTTTGGTGCTGCATAAAAAAACACACAGCTTAATGGTCGCATCAGCACCAAACAGCTTGACTGATTTTATTCGGTTTTTGATAACTTTTAAATATAAGACAGTGAACATTTGTAAAAATTTCGAAAAATAGTTTGCAAATCCTGATCCTTATCTTCTAAGAGACTGCCGACAACGACTGTTGAGAAGGGAAGGGTGAGTCTGTTTTCGTCTTCTGATATTATTAGAACGCTAGCTTGATAACGAGTGGGCATGTCCTGTTGCCCTTAAATAAGTTGCACAATTGCTGTATAAAGCAGAAATTATGTATTAACTCACAAATTGGCATGGATGGTAACATTTTAATTAAAATGATACCAATAAATAAATAAATAAATAATATATATATATTTAAGGGAATAACTGCATTTTGAATAGCATGAGCTTTCAACATTACACTGCTATTGTGCTTATTGTGATGCGTGCGCGCGTGTATGCTGTCTGGCAACGTATCACCAAATTGTGTCAATTATCGCTCGAGAGGAATTATGAAAGAGTTCCTGTGAGCCGTATGGAATAATTCTTACTTGATATTCGAGAAAGGAAATAACAAGATATGTTAATTATTTCGCGAGAAGGATTACAAAATAGCATCTGGAGCTTACACTGTAATTTTTACATATCACTCGAAATGGGAATGGCGAGAGCAATCTTACATCCTTTCTTGTCACAGCGGTTCTAGATACAAACAAAATCTGAACAGACTGCGAAAAGGACAGATTAAACAGACCAAAGTGGAGGTATGAAGATCTTTTCTTTATGATAGTGATAACTCAACAAAAACGAGGCCTCGTGTTTAACTGAGAAAATTGCTTTCTTTACGTTGTATGTTGCTTAATGATTGGATATTACTTATGTATGAACTCGTTATATATTGAAGCTCTTTTTGTGTTTGGTGACTATGAGCAAAATGCTATGGGGACTTTAGATTTATAATGTGTCTATCGCGTTATTAACTTCAAAAGATCATTTTTCTTCTATAATAACCTTTTCGTAATTAATATTCCTACCGTTGCCCTCTTGTTGGAATTACAATTGCAGATGAATTTCGCCTTTTTTAACTACTCTGCATATAACCAAATTGTTCATTACCTAGAGACATCCATGAACCCCACACCGAAACAACAACGAGGCAGCAAGCACGCGTGCAGTGAAATGCAAAATAGCCCCGGGGACCTCTACCGCTTGCCGGCACCATTGCAGAAACAAGGTAGATAAAAACTTCAGTCAGTATATTAATTACCTACATGTATTTTTCGTGATGTTTTCGTTCTTTATTTCATGCTCACATTAAGTTCATGAACATTAAAAGCATGGAAAAAAGAGACTAGAATAACAGCATACATTTTAAATGTCTAGATAAACGACGAAAAAGCAGCGGGCGTCAAATAACACCTAGTACTTTTGGTGGTGTATGTCTACCTCCAATCCGACAAAAACACGAATACGCCCCACAAGAATCACCGGAAACGACGAAAACACCTCAGCAGCGATTCGGTCTCAATGATTTGCCGTCCTGGGCGAAGAGAGAACGAAAGACTAACACCGTTCTTAGTTACCAGCAACAGAATCCTATGGTATCTGCACCGGTTCAGGGTTCAGCTCTTTCCACAACACCAGGATGGATCCGAAAAACAGGGAGCGCAGGCTTCGATTCTCTACCGTCACAGGGCGTTTCAAAAACATTTCAACCAATTATTGGACCCTTGAAGTGCCCTCCCTCGAATGCCGACACGTTCCTCCCAGAGGAGCAGGACTTTGATTATGTTTTTAATTACCCTGTTCGGGTTCCACGGAAAACTGAAAAGCATTTGCGAAAGACCAGTTTGCCACCTTCTTTCTTTCAACAAAAACGTCAAGAGAAGAAAACTCGAAAGACGTCACAGATAGATCGGATAAGCGAGTTGTCATCCGAGTTCAAGGTAATGTTAGAAATGCTGGATGAGCAGGTCGCCGAAAACGGCTCTGGGGTTGGTAATCTAACGCCGGAACCAGCGATTATCTCGGTTTGGGACAAGCTCCCTAGAGACGATAGGGGTAAAATCGTAGGCATGGATTATCGCCCTAAGAGATGCTGGTGTACTCGATGCATGATCATGTACGATGTTTACTGTTCTCACAGTGACGATTTAGATCACTGGGGAGATTATCCTTGTCACCAGTGGTAAGACCCGGTGGACACACACGCGCTCACACACACACACACACACACACACACACACACACACTAGGCATAATCGCTTTATAGACCCCAAACGTTTTTTCTAGGTCATTCAGTATTGCGGCTAGAACTATTACGTGAAGATACATATAACAAGTAAAACAATATAGCAAGTCTAATCCAGATTTTTATCTTACCAGGTTTGCAGGGGACTCATTCTAAACTGGTGTTTATTTTTACACTCTCCTGTAGTTTATATATGAGTATAACAAAGACATAAAGCATGAGGGCCGAAATTTTGGTGCAAACTTCCCCAAAAATTTAATTGTGATTAAGATACATTTCCCTTCTTGATACATTACCCAATGCCTTATTTTAGATACATTTCCCAATCTATAGACTTCCTTATCTATTCCTTCATTCAAAACACTATACCTAAAAGCATTATCGTCGTATTATATATAGTCCCGAATGATTTTATTCTTTGCCACCTGTCAGCATTAAAAGCTCCCGGCCATAGTCTTGACCATAATTCCATTTTCGCAAATAAAAAAGCCTGAAGTATGATAAATTGAGAATTACAAATAGTTTAATATTATACATTTATGCACTTGTTACCTTTTAAACGATAGTGTTTGCTTTCAGCACAAAATCGGCCACATTTCATAGGATTGAAACGAGTCCAGGAAAACCTTTCCACTAATCCAGATAAACATTACTGGTTAATAAATAATCACATAAATTGAGTAAAGTAAGGAATGGAGGAAATTAAGCAACACAAGCTCTCGTTTATTTGTTGGGATGGGTCTCTCTAACAGATAAATATTGATTGATCACTCTGGATGTACTGGTGCTGACGCACTGATTGCATGTATCTTAATGCAGCAGTCGCAACCTTTTGAGTAATTACTAGCTGGCATGGATATAAATGCTCAAAAATTGTATAATAGTGTCTGTTGCTAACAGATTAGTTGCAGGCAGAGCTCGTTATCCATTGGTTTTGAATTGTGCTATATTGTCACTTCCTGTATTGGCTGATCTTGTTTCTTCTCTCCTGGCCTCTTGTGACGCGTTCTTTTGACTAAGTCGATGTACCCAATGGTCGATTTCACACACACACACACAC